CGACAGCCGCCTGTAGGGGGACAAGCCCGACCTAATGCTACAAAGTGTGGCATCGGGAGCGCCACATGTGGGACGGACGAGAACGGGGCCGAACCCGCCGACATTCGCGAATAAGCGTCCCGCGTAAGGCCGCGCGTGTTTCTAATGTTGCGTGCCGCGCTGGCGGCCTGCTTAATCCGCGGCGCGAGGTCGCTGCGTCCTCTTGCGCAGGACCCGTGTCTTCGCGTCGCTCACATTGCTTCCCGCGACCTTGCCAGACGGTTTCTTGGGAGCTCTTTTGAGGCTCTTGCGAGCATATCGGGCGTCTTCCGGTCGTGGCGTCCTGGCGTGTCTTGCGGTATGTGGAGTTGTTTGTCTGGGCCTGGGAGCCGTTTGGAGAGCCGTCTGAGAGCGTCCTGGGTCACTCTTGGGGCGCCTCTTAGCCATCTTGGGGCGGGCCGTATAAGGTTTTTTGTTGCGCCGTCTTAGCGGCTGTCTAGGGGCCGCTTGCCAGGGTCTTGGGAGCATCTTGGGGCCTCATGCTGCTACTTGGGACGAAGGGAATGACAGGCAGAAAGGGTTGAACGCAAGCATCGTTCAATGTTTTTAGCCTCTGGGGGATCTTCTTGGAGAGCATCTTGGCTTTGTGGGCGCCAGTTGCGGTCTTTTTTGGGGGCGGCTGGTAGTTTTGGAACAGTTTTGCAAGTGTCGTGGGCCGTCTAGTTGACGTCTTAGAGCCATCTTGGGGCGGTCTTGAGCTGTCTTGGGGGAGTCACTCTTGGAGCGATCTGGGGCCGTCTTGAGGCCGTTGTGTCGTCGTGGGCCCATTTTGAGTTTGCCTCGGGCTTCTAGGTGGACCGCTTGTGGGGAGGTTTTGTCTCGGGTTTCCTTGCGGCATGCTGGCACCAAACAGCTGCGAGAGGCCTCCACGCAGTGGACCGACTGACACAAGTGTTTGCCCGCTTTCCAGCCTCCGAGGGGCCTCTCTCGGAGAGCATTCAGGAGGGGAAAAAACACACAGACACACCGAATCGTCGATTCCCAGGAAAATATACGAAAATATGGGAGGTGGGGGGGGAAGACAGAACCCCCCCAAACATGTAGGAAACTATGGGGAATCCAGTTAGCTGTGTCCATTTAGTTGTGTGTCCCAGGGCCCCTTCGAGCATCTCCAGGGCACCTCGCTGTTTGGCGGCGCCTCGTGGGGCCCCTTGCGCGCCATGTTCGAAGTGCTCCCGGTCCACGCTCGTGGCAAAATCCAATCCTGGACCGCCTCGGCGGGCCTCGCGGTCTTCGGGAGGAGGCGGAGGAGGAGGAGGAGGAGGAGGAGGAGGAGGAGGAGGAGGAGGAGGAGGGGGAGGAATACGAGGAGAAGGGGGAGGAGGAGGAGGAGGGCAGGAGGAGAGGGGACAGAGGAGAAGGAGGAGGAGGAGGAGGAGGAGGAGGGGAGGAGGAGGAGGAGCAGGAGGAGCCGGAAGACGAGGGAGGAGGAGGAGGAGGAGGAGGAGCACCTCGGATGCCGCAGCGCCTGGGAAAATTCAGGATGCCAGGGGGTGCTTGGGGGGGGGGGGGGGGGGAGCGCGGTGTGCGTGCGGCAGGTGCGCGCCGCATCCGTGCGGCAGGCCCCGCCGACGCGGGCGTTCACGGTTGACGGCCGCGAGGACGTTGTGCCAGGCCAAAGTTGAGTGGTCTCCCTCGTGAGATAGCAGACGCAGTCAAGACGCTGGAGCAAGGGCCATTTTGGGCCCAGGAAGGTCCCTCCGTTCCTTATGTTTCCTTCCTGATGTCAACACGCTGACTGTATCTCTCCATGTCATATTGAACACCCTGCGCGGTATCAGATCAGCGTCACCCCAATCTACTAATACTATGTGTGTGTCGCCCCCCCCCAGGGGCGACGTGCGCACCGAGAAATCGTTTAGCATGTGTATCGTGGCGGGCGCTTTCTGGCCACACCGCTCGTGAAACGATGTACTACAAGATGGGTATACTAGATGTTCTAGTCGGACGCGCGCCTCCAAGGAAGTCATGTAGTATTAGTATGTCTTGATGGGCCAATGTTCCACCGCCACTACCATAAGTAGGACGGAGCAGAGGAGAAGGAAGGATGGGGAGGTCCTCCTCCTCCTCCTCCTCCTCCTCCTCCCTCTTCTGCCTGTGGTAGTGGTGGTGGAAGATCGGCCCATGGTGTCTCGGTGCGTCCCCTCAGACGTGCGCGCCCGCGCCCTCAGGGAGCGGCAGGAGCCGGCCGCAGGGAGGGATGCGGCGGCGAGGCGCCACCGGGTGCCGCGAGCCAGCCACCGCGGGAGCCGGCGCCGCGCCCGCCGCCCCGAGAGATCCAGAGCCATCGCTTCGGAGTCGTGCTGCTCAGCGCGCTAATGGAAGAGGAAAGAACGCCCCAAACATACCACCAGCAATTGTCATCGTCATTGTCGTCATTTGTCATCGTCGTCGTCGTCGTCGTCGTTGTCATCATCTGGAAGACATACACGCCTGTCGTTGAGAGTAGGTACTTCTGGATTCCCAGATCCCAATCTACTTCAAGCGCCTTCCTATTTCAAGATTCCACATGCTTCTGCTGCGTTATGTCGTTCTCTGGGAGGGTCTGAATACAATCTACTTTATCCGCCTTTCTACTTCATGTTTTTACCTACTTCTTCCGACCCGTGTAAACTTTCGGCGCTCCGCGCGGAATTCTCGGATCCGCGCTGGGCACCCCCCTGGCGGCGCTTCCGGCGCCGCCCCTGGCGCATCGCAGATCCAAGAAATCCGCGCGGAGCACAGCCAGTGTCAGTTTGTGCCGTGTTTTCTTCTCCCAGCCATTGGGCACCGCTGGGGGCCGGGGGGCTCGGCGGCGTGCCCTCTCGATGTGGTCGTCGCCGCCGTGGTCGTCGCCGTCATCGTTGTTGGGCGCTGCTGGGCGCTGGGGAAGCGCTCGTGGCCCCTCCCCTGCGGCCTGCGGGCCCTGGCCCCCGACCCAAACCAGGGGGGAGACCTGCTTGCGACGGCCGTTCCCCGCCGCCTGCGCGCTGCCCAGGGCGGCGGGCGCGTGCGAGGTCACGGTGCAGTGCAGACGAGGAGGAGGAGGAGGAGGAGGAGGAGGAGGAGGAGGAGGAGGGGGAGGAGGAGGAGGGGGAGGAGGGGGAGGAGGAGAGGAGGAGGAGGAGGAGGAGGAGGAGGAGGAGGAGGAGGAGGAGGAGGAGGAGGAAAGACCGCAGGAGGGGCGTGCCACAGGGCCTCCAGGATCTCGAGGGGAGTGGTGGATAGGGGATATTTGCCCGCCTGCGTGGGCGGGCGGGTATCCCTATCCGCTCCCCCGGGGCCCTGGGACGTGCACCCGCGGCAGTGGATGTGCGGACGTAGCCTGGCGGCGCACTGTCACACGCCCCGGTGGGCTCGGGGGGCGCTGCGCCGGACTTCTTCTGCGGCTACTCGGGGGTTCCCGCGGGCACGGTGTCGGTGCTGATCTCGAACTTCCAGGGCTCGGCCCTGCAAAAGAACCTGGGGCGGCTGCAGGCGGTGACGCTCGGGCTTGTCCTGCCCTTCATCATCGTCCAGGCGATGGGGACGAGCTGCGGCCACGCCCGCGTGGCCCTCCAGTACCTCATGATCTTCGCCTGGGAGATGTTGACGGCGTACATCTATCCAGGGTGCTTGCGGCGAGTCCGGCCGCCGTTCTTGCGCAGCAGCGGTCTCCTCGAGTTCTGAGGGCCTGCTCCACTCCAGAGCCCTGCCCGAGCTGGCGCGGGCCTCGAGCAAGCCGCCTCGTGCGCGGTTTCGTTCTCGTCTGGCTTCCCTCCCCACTCCTCGCTGCTCCTCCCTCCTTCTCCCCCTGCCTCCTCCTTGGCTTCTTGGGGGCCTCTCTGCGGCCTGGGGGGCTTCTTCATGCCCTCTTCGGGGGGCCTGCTGGGGGCCCGTCGGGGGTCTCGGGGCCGTTTGGGGCGCCATGGCTCCTGCGGCCTCTCCATGACAGGCTCGGTTGGACTGTCTCGGGGACTTCTGGGCAGGTCTTGCAGACCTCTCGGGTGTCCTGGAATGTGCTCGAGCAGTCCAAGGGGCCGTTGGGTTCTCTTGGGGGGCAGACTCGGCCGTTTGGGGGGATCCTTGGGCCACGAATGTTTTCCTGAGACGATCTCCAGCCGAAAAGATCCGGGAGCAAAACGTATCAACTTCCCATTTGTGTGGCCTCTGATGGCCTCGCCGGAGGCATTTGCTGGAGGCCTCGCTGGAGGCATCTCTTAGGTGCCTTCTGGAGCCTTGCTGCACATCTTGGAAATTCTGCAGCATCTGGAGGCTCGCTGGGCCGTCTTTGGGCAGTCCCTGGGCGTCCTGAAGCTGTTTAGGGGCGGTCTTTGGCTGTCTTTTGGGTCGTTTGGAGGCTCAAGAGGAGGCGCCAGCAATCAGAGCTGAGGGTGTGGCGATGTTCGGACGACGCGTGCTTCGAGGGATGGGTGGGTTCCCAGACCCCCTCGAATTGTGACAAAATCACGACGGCAGGTTTTTCGCTATGTTCGGCTTCCGGGGCTTTCCCAGGCCTCGGGACCGTCAACAAAACGACTCAGGATACCTGTCCCGGGGAAGGGGTCCAGACCTTTGGGGTTCGACGTTGTGACAAACATCACGACGTCAGGGGTCTGGGTTATTCACAAGCGGCAATGCAGAGACCCCACCGGACAGCAAACAGAGCACCGTAACACGCCCCAATTAGCTCGGGCGGGTGGTTGTGGGGTGACCCAAATGGGGTGAAGGAAATGGCCCTAAAGGAGCCCTTCAGTGCACCTTTTGGGCACCAAGTGGCTCCAACAGCCCGTTTCTTCACCCCCAAGTTGGGTCGCCCCCCACTACCACACGCCCGACTACCGTGTCGCTGGCACGGTGACGGATTATGCCTCCGCGTCGTACAGCTACATCGGGTGCCTCCTGGCGGCTACTGGCGTCGGGACGCTGATCTACCCCTGCTCCGATGCGGTCCCCTCGCCCGCGGATGTGGACAACACTCAGATGGCCGCCTACACTAAGATATGCAACACTACGATTGCGGTGATTCGACAGGCTGACGCCACATCCGTTGGCGCCTTGACATTCTCGAGAGCCGTGTTGGCCCCTGCGGGGTTCCATGTGGAGGGGTATGGAACGTAGAAGCACATTATTTCGGGGGAGGCCAAGAAGGGGGTGATGACTAGGGGGGGATCTCACCTTCATGGCGCCTCTTGTTATTTCATTACGTCCCTGGCCCCCCCTTGGGCCGCGCACATGCCGCCGGCCATGATTTGCGCCCACCCTCGCTTGGACGCCCCCCTCTTGGCCGCCCCCGAGCTTGGCATCGCTCGGATGTGTGCCTTATTCCTCCGGCGAGGACCATCGAGGAGCATCCTTGATCATTTGGCGAAAAAACCACGCACGAAACCGACAAAAAACACAGGGAATGCACGTCCTAGCGGTGGCCAGCGAGTCTTAGCTCCACCAGAGGAGCGCCTCAAGCAGCGGATATTTCGTTCTGTCCCCGCAGTCGCTCCACGCCTGCCCCGCCGTGACACTTGTCAGAACTGCCCTTGTGCAGCATCTCTACTCTGTCCACTCTCTCTCTCCAGCGCCCCGCGTTCCCACTCCTCCTCCTCCTCCTCCTCCTCCTCCTCCTCCTCCTCCTCCTCCTCCTCCTCTCCTCCTTCTCTTCCTCCTCTCATCCCTTGACCCTGCCATCCGCATGTCCACCATTTCGGCACACCCCTCACGAGGATCGTGGCCGAATAGGGAGCTCCACCGAAGGCCCAAGTGGCACAGGCCGCATGCGCCCGACACCCATCTCGGCACACCCCTCACACGATTCGTGGCCCCATAGGGAGCTCCACCGAAGGCCCCAGTGGCACAGGCCGCATGCGCCCGACGCCGCCATTTTGGCACACCTTTCATACGGTTCGTGGCCCCATAGGGAGTTCCACCGAAGGCCCTAGTGGCACAAGCCGCATGCGCCCGACGCCCATTTTGGCAACCCTCTTCTATGGTTCGTGGCCCCGTAAGGAGCTCCACCGAAGGCCCCAGTGGCACAGGCCGCATGCGCCCGACGCCCATTTCGGCACACCTATCACACGGTTCGTGGCCCCATAGGGAGCTCCACCGAAGGCCCCAGTGGCACAGGCCGCATGCGTTCAGCGCCTATTTGGGCAAACCCTTCAGACGGCTAGTGGCCCCATAGGGAGCTCCACCGAAAGCGGTACCCACAACGCGGTACTCGCAACTGCGCATGGTTGGATCCTCCGCTGGGATAATTACCTATACGACCACCCTGCGGGTGATAAGGAGGTTGTGGGGGGGTGGGGGGAGGGGGTGGCTCATGACGACAACTGTGATGAACGTGGTGCTGATGGGCGATGATGGTGTGGATGACGTGGCGGATTTTTTTTTGTTCCTTCGCTTGGGCGACTTGTGTCGTTCGGTTTGCCGCTGCGCGACGCGGATGAGCAACCATTATGAGCAACCGGCGGGACCATGATGAGCAACAATGATGAGCAACCGGCGGGACAATGGTGAGCAACCATGATGAGCAACCGGCGGGACAATGATGAGCAACCATGATGAGCAACCATGATGAGCAACCGGCGGGACAATGATGAGCAACCATGATGAGCAACTGGCGGGACAATGATGAGCAACCATGATGAGCAACCATGATGAGCAACCATGATGGGCAACCGGCGGGCAACCGACGGGACAATGCGGGCCACCGCTTGACAACACCGGGAGGGAAACATTTGTGTTGGCGGACCCCTAGCGACAGCAGAGTGAATTCCTCTCGCTGGCCCACGCAGCTTCGCCTCGCCCGCACGCACGGCACGAGCACGAACTCGAAACTCGATTTCCCGGTGGGGGGCTCCGTTACATTGCGATCTCACCCCCCAACCTCCGATAATTGCCGCGTTCGGCCGTTGTCATCATATGTATCGCGACTAGCCCTAGTCATTGCGTTGAGTGATGTAGCAGAGCTGAGGCGAGGCCCCAAAGGCACCGTCCACATGAGTCCGCCACACCCGTTTCGGCACACCCCTCACACGTTTCGTGGCCCCATAGGGGGGGGCCCACCGAACGCCCCAGTGGCACCGTTCACATGCGTCCGCCACACCCAGTTCGGAACACCCCTCACAAGTTTTGGGCCCCCATAGGGAGCTCCACCGAAGATGATACTTACCACTGCGGTGCTCACAGCTGCATGTGGTTGGGTCCTTCGCCAGGTTAGTTCCATCCTCTGGAACCCTGCGACCCCCCCCTAAATGGGACCCCGTCCAGGTCCTTGGCCCTGGGGACACCCTGGGCGCCCTAGAAGATGGTCCCTTGTGCTTTCTGGGGCCCCCGTAGCCCCATGCTAGACCTTGGCAGCGGGCCCCACTCGGTCAGGAGTGCGGTCGGACGGCCCCGCGAGAGCCCTCAGAGGCCCCAGGCGCCCACCAGACGCCCGGAGACGACCCAAAGAAGACCCCCAAGAGGCATTCGAAACTCCAAAAGCATGGATTCCCGCTGGTTGTTCCATGATTTCGGGAATGCTTAGTTTTTCGGTCTTCGGGCGTCCGGGACTGCCCAGGCGGCCAGAGCACCGCCCCAAAGTTAACCAAGAGGGATTCCAGGCAGTCCAAGAGGAGCCCCAAGACGGCCCAACAGGGCCCCAAGATGGCACAACGAGACCCCCTATGAAGGCCCAGTATGGCCCCAAGACGCCTCCCGAATCATTCCAAATCGTGACCCGATCGTTCAGGGAGACCGCGGTTGGAAGCAGGGTGGCCTGGGGAAGCCCCCAGTGGCCCCCAGAAGGAAGCCAGGAGGCTTCTAGAAAACCCCAACAAGCTTTTCAAAGCCTTCGTGAGACTTGCAAGAGGCTCTCCTAGGATGAACCTCCACAATTATCCTGGCAAAGGATCCAACCATATGAAATTGTGGGCACCGCAATTGTGAACATCTTCTTCGGTGAAGCTTCCTATGGGGTCACGAAGCAGGCGGTAGCACTGGGGCCGTCGGTGAAGCTCCCTATGAGGCCACAAAACGCTGCACTGGGTGGGTGAAAGTACCAAATTTGGCGTGTGGAACGCACGCGGGCGGTCCCAGAGGGGGTTTCGGTGGAGCTCCCCATGGGGCCGCGAAGCGTTATAAAGGGTAGGTGAAAATGCAAAATTGGGCATGGCGGACGCATGCGGGCGGCCCCACTGGGGGCTTCGGTGGGGCTCCCTATGGGGCCACAAAGCGCTGTACTGGGCGGGTGCAAATTCCAAATGGGGCCTGGGGGGCGCATGCGGGCGGTCCCACTGGAGGCTTCGGTGGAGCTCCCTATAGGGCCACGGAGCGCTGTACTGGTTGGGGGACAATGCCAAATCGAGTGCGGGGGACGCATGCGGACGGTCCCACTGGGGGCTTCGGTGGGGCTTCCTATGGGGCCACGAAGCGCTGTACTGGGTGGGTGACAATGCCAAGTTGGGTGTGGGGGACGCATGCGGGCGGTCCCACTGGGGGCTTCGGTGGGGCTCCCTATTGGGCCGCGAGACGCTGTATTGGGTGGGTAAATGTCAAGTTGGGTGTGGGGGGGGCGCATGTGAGCGGTACCACTGGGGGCTCCGGTGGAGCTCCCTATGGGGTCAAGAAGCGCTGTGTTGGGTGGGTGAAACTGCCAAATTGGGCGTGGGGGACGCATGCGGGCGGCCCCACTCAAGGCTTGAGTGAAGCTCCTTCTGGGGCCACGAAACGTTGTACTGGGTGGATGAAAATGCCAAATTGGGTGTGGGGGGCGCATGCGGGCGGTCCCACTGGGGGTTTTTGTGGGGCTCCTTATGGGGCCACGAAGCGCTGTACCGGGTGGGTGACAATGCGAAATCGAGTGTGGGGGACGCATGCGGGCGGTCCCACTGGGGGTTTTTGGTGGGGAAACACGCTCTATTGGGTAGGTGAAAATGCCAAGTTGGGTGTGTGGGGGACGCACGCGGGCGGTCCCAGAGGGGCTTTTGTGGGGCTCCCTATGGGGCCACGAAGCGCTGTACCGGGTGGGTGAAAATGCCAAATCGGGTGTGGGGGACGCATGCGGGCGGTGCCACTGGAGGCTTCGGTGGAGCTCCCTCTGGGGCTACGAAGCGTTGTACTGGGTTGGTGAAAATGCCAAATTGGGTGTGGGGGATGCATGCGGGCGGTCCCACTGGGGGCTTCGGTGGAGCTCCCTATGGGGCCACGAAGCGCTGTACCGTGTGGGTAAAACGTATGGAGGAAGGAGGAGGGCGGGGAGGAGGGGGAGGAGGAGGAGATGAGGAGGAGATGAGGAGATGAGGAAAGGAACGCGGGGACTGTCTCTTCAAAACGAGGACCCAACACCACAGGATGGCTGGGACATGATGATGGTGGCGAATTTGTTGGATAGGGCGATAATGAGGATAAGGAAGATGAGACATGAGTGAATGATAACGAATAAGATTATTACGACGACAATGTCAGAACATGTAAAAACGAGTTGTGGCTACATGTTCCGTTTTGCCTTATTGCTTTTTGTTTGCATGCCGCACCTGAAGAACCAAAATGCATGGCGCGAAGCGCCAATGCAGTCTCATATGTCTAAACATATGTATGTATATTCATGTTGTGTATATATACATATTGTGCAGGTTTTTCTGCGGAAAGGGCTTAGGCAAAGGGTTCTCCCTTAGTAGGTTCAATCCTTGAGTCGACTTGACGAGGGTTGGCGACATTATTTTGCGATAGGGAATCAGGTAACGTCTGATATTTGTTTGAAACACTTCGTTTCGCGCGTGCCTGCTCGAAAAACATGTACGCGGGCCTAGTTACTTGCGGTCAACAACGAGGTGTAGTCTGATTTTTCGTTGCGGGGGGGGGAATGCGTTTCGCGCGTGCCCGCTCGAGGAATCTGTGTCCCGCATCTCGGATCCTCGATCAAGAACGGTGTCTGTAGACACACGTTTTCCCTCGTGAAAACGAGGTGCAGAGCGTTTTGCGCACAATCCAACAACACATCAGGCTTTGAGGCCTTCAACTTTGTCCGAAAATGAAGCAACTACTTTTT